CCCACCACCCCCCTTCCCAGCTGACACCCTTCCTTGCGTCTCCCAAGCCAGACTCCCGGCCTCCGATGGGAGGCGTGGCCCCCTGGAATCTCCCGGGATGGGCGTGCACGTCGTCCCCTCGGAGGACCGGTGCCGAATCCTGTCACAGGGAAGGAAAGGGCGGCAGGAACCGCGAGGCAAGGCTCAAGGGGACTCCTCCTCCAGGTCCCTGGGAATCCAGAACCTATCTGCAAGGCCCACTCGGCTCCTGACCCTGCCCACTACCCCCCCCCACGCCCACGCGTGCACCTGCCCAAATCCCCTCTGCCTCCTCCTCTGAGGGCCACACGCGCCTGGACCCGACACAGCCCTGATCTGGCTGCCAAGTCACTTGGTCCCGTGGAAGCCGACTGAGCATGCGCGGCCCACCCCCAGGGCCTGCTCGGGCCAATGGGGTTTAAGCCACGCCCCCTGGTGCCGGCCCAGCTGCAGCACGTGACTAACAGTTTCAACGGTTTTAACGGTTTTGAATCTTGGCCCAGCCTGCCGGCCGGCCCAAAGGCGCACGCACACCCAGCCCACGGACGGAACACCTCAGGAGCTGTACCCTCAGACCGCGCGCTCACACCCGCCATCCCCTCGCCGGTGCAGACCCACTCAGGGGACGCCAGAGGCACATCCTGCTGAATGCCGAGTGAGATACGTGTCCCGGGGCCAGGGCATGGCTGGGGCCTGGGTGGTCCGAAGGAGAGCAGGGTAGAGGGAGTAGCTGGGGCGAGAGAGGCTGTGGTCGGAGAGATGCACCGCTGGGAGCATGGAGGAGGAAGGAGAAAGGAGGAGAGAACTTGTCCGAGAGTCCTGGCCTGCTAGGTGCTGAGCAGCCTGAGGGCAGGGCAGGCGGAGGCAGAGGGGGCAGGGCAGGGCGGGTCTGTTGAACTCCGGCCTACAGATGGCTTTTAAAGCCTTGAAACCGGACGAGATCCCCACTGACGGCGTGGGGATGGAAAGCTGATTGCGCTGAAGCCCCCGACGTAGATGAAAAAACAGCGAAGGAGCCAGAGAAGGTGCGGTCAGGGCCGGGAGGGGCACCGGGAGAGCGGGCGTCAGCTGTGGCGCGGAAGATGAGTGACTTCGCCGGGAACAGTTGCAGTTCGCGATGGCGTTTCCACGAACGATGTAGAGCCTTGCCCGGCACTCTGTGCGTCTTTCTATAGCTTCACCTTTTGACTCACCATTTTTGAGATTTGTATGGATGCAAGTACCCGTAGCCCATTTATAGTAACTCCAGGATTTCCCTGTGTGACCGTCGACCAATGTCGTCGTCACTGTGCTGTGGGTAAACGTTGAGGCCGCTTTTACAGTCTTCTCTCCGCCGATGCTGCGCGCTCGTGCCCTTGCGGGTGCCCTTGCCCCCAGGATAATGATACCGGGTGGTCGGTCTGGCCGGTAAGGCCGGTGCCTGTGGCTGGAGCAGGGTCTGAGTGTTCCCCGCTGTTGAATTTTTCATCGGCACAGTTTTAGAGGCTGATTGACAGCTTCTTTTAGTTAGTAAAAGTGCTGAACCGTTCACATCCCTGGGTTATCAATGGGGGAGGGGGGGAAGAGAATGATCTGCCCAAGGAGAGCCTGGAATGGAACCACAATGTCAAATATTTTCACGCTCCTCCTCCTGCTTCCCTGTCATGCTCTCCTTCACTCAGGCCCTCCTGGTGTTCGCCTGCCAGGATTAGTGTTCCCGGGCACCACAAGCTCCGGGGAAGCTGGCAGAGCTTTATTGTGACGCAGCACCAGTTTTGCCCTAAGAGACACCAACCACTTCAGCGTTTCTTCTGACTCCATGGAGTGCTTTCTAAATTCATACCCCTGGCATCTCGGTCTCGCAGTCTTAGAAATGCAGGATTTGCTTCTAGATGGTCTTTAATATTTCATTGACTGTGAATTCATCAGACTCCACCCTGGAGCCTTGTGTAGTTTCTAGATGGTCTTTAATATTTCATTGACTCTGAATTCATCAGACTCCACCCTGGAGCCTTGTGTAGTTTCTAGATGGTCTTTAATATTTCATTGACTGTGAATTCATCAGACTCCACCCTGGAGCCTTGTGTAGTTTCTAGATGGTCTTTAATATTTCATTGACTCTGAATTCATCAGACTCCACCCTGGAGCCTTGTGTAGTTTCTAGATGGTCTTTAATATTTCATTGACTGTGAATTCATCAGACTCCACCCTGGAGCCTTGTGTAGTTTCTAGATGGTCTTTAATATTTCATTGACTCTGAATTCATCAGACTCCACCCTGGAGCCTTGTGTAGTTTCTAGATGGTCTTTAATATTTCATTGACTGTGAATTCATCAGACTCCACCGTGGAGCCTTGTGTGTTTCTATATAGAAGGACTCTCTCAGGAAGGAAGTAAAAACAAAGCAGGAAGCACAGAGGGGTAGGTAGCAGGCCAGGTGCTGCCTCAGCACTCAGCAACATTGTGCAGTCACAATCTCCTTTTGTCACCAAGCAACAGGAAGGTGACCTCCTGAGATTCTCAGACAGCCTTGGCAAGACGAGGAGTTTGCCATTTCTGCTCCTTTCCCGGAAAGATGCAAAGTGCTTTAGTCGGCTCCTGGGTAAGAGCGTGTTTTATAGTGAATCCTGGCCCCCGGGCCCGGGTGTGGTACCTGAAATTTGTATGAATCATGAAAGTAAAGTGAGAAGGGTTTCGTCCAGCATCCAGGTCAGTGGAGGACCCTGAACTGCCTACCCCCCTCTGCCATCCTGAGGTCACCCCTGGAGCCCCTTCCTGGGGTCCTGGTCTCATGCTACTCAGCTAACCTCCTAGTCCTCTAGACACCCCACTTATTCCCAGGTCTATGCATCATTTCCCCACATACACATAGCCTTCCTGGGTGGGCCAGCACAGCCCAGGAAGATAAATGGGAGACACCTCTCTGCAGGCCACTCTCCAGGGATGTCCCCCCACCTCAGATGTTTTCTGCCAAAAACTCCCAGGAGAGGCTTCCAGCCTCTGAGGTCTAGCCTTTGGGGTCCCTGAGGTCTAAGATTCAGGAGTGGGCTTTGGGTAGGATTCACTCTCATCCTGCCTTATTCTAGCACAACAATGGCTTCTATGGGCACTACAGAGGCCAATTCAAGAGCGAAAGTGCTAGAGAATACCGCCTTGCGGCCAAGCCCCAGCCTCCGGCAGTGTTCCTGCAGCGATGTCAGGTACAGGGCAGCCTGGGAGCAGCTGGGGGGCTGGGCCAGTTTCTGCTTCTCTCAGGCCCCAGGAGCATCATCCTTAGCCCTACCACACACAGCTGGACTGACAGCTGGAGCCAGCCTATCCCCAGGACGTGCACAAGGCCTGGACCTTCTTCCCTGAAAGGTCAGGTCTTTCTCCAGGCAGGGTGGAGAGGAGCCCATAGTAGGCTTAGTGCTCCTTCTAGATGGAGGAAGGGTCAGGGCACAGGTGGGGTGAGCTGCCATGGCAGAGAGCCTCCAGAACACAGGAAGTAAGCCTTGCATTTTGCCGAAAACTGCCCTTAAGCTCAGATTCCTCGATGCCATAAAATCCCATGGTCTAGCCCACAGTCAGCCTAGTAGTCCAGGGACTCAGGGGTGAGTGAGGAGGCTCTTCTGGTCAAGGGGGACTGGGAAGGGTGATGGCAGAAATGGCCTAGAGTGGCTGGAAAAGGCTTCCTAAGAACAGGAGAGGGATGCAGGTCCCAGGCCCTCCACTGCTTCCAGTCCTGAGACAAGGAGGGGGCAATGTGCATTGTGGGGGTCCCAGCAGGAAAAAGTCCACTCAAAATAGAACTCAGGAGGGTGTACAGAGTAACAAGTAGGTGTGGGGGCCTTGCGGGAAGGTAGTCTCACAGGTTTCTAACAACCAGTGATCAGTATGACTGGGCCTGAAGGAACAAGGGAAAGGCATGGCTTCTAGCACCCAGGAGAGAGTGGTATAGAGAGGGCCACCCTGATAGGGGTGGTGATCTTGTGTGGAGAGACACAACCAGGTGGGGGCTGGCCTGGGAGGGAGCCAGGAAAAGAAATACCTTGTACCTCCTCCCTTCCTTCTCCTCCCAGTTCTTTCCAGTGGCCAGAGGGAAGGCAGCTGATGAGACGTGCGCTCAGATCAGCCTCCTTGGCAAGATCAGGGTGGAGGAGGGACCTGGGGGGGTACCTGGAGCATGCTCTGCTCACTGCAGCTCCTTGCTTCCCAGCTTTTAGCCAGGTCCTATTTGACTGCCATTTGATTCTCCAGGAATTGCTTTCCCAGGCCAAGAGCAAGGTCCTGGAGGCTGCCATGCTGCGTAGCCTGAATGCCTAGTGTTCCCAGTTGCAAGGGCTGCCTAGCACTGTCTACTGAGCCAGGGCCACCTCCCCTGCGAGAGTATGGGACCTAAGTACTGCAGGGACAGAGGCAACCTGGGGGCTTCCTGCTAGGTGTTTGTAGGAGCCTTCAGTGGCAGCTCTCATCCCTCAGGGACAGAGTAGGGGACATGTCTTGGTAGAAGTGAAGACTTGCTACATAAAATATTTACTAACATTATCAGCAGCCCCAAACAGCGTGATCTGTGTGTGTTGGGCTCAGGTTGTATAAATGCCAAGTCCCGTAGCTCCTTCTAGGCCTGAAGCTGTTTTAATTAGTGGACTGCTCAGGGGAGGTTCCCATTTTATTTTCTCATTAGCTGAGAGATGCCAGGTGTCAGCGGGCCCACTGCAGCTATGGTTGTTAAAAACCTTTCCAAGTGGTGGCATCCGCTTTCCTCTCCTTTCAAGGTGGCATGTAGAAATTTTACCCATATCATTCTGATGCAGAACAATTCTTTTTTCTTCTAAACTAGATTAATTTATAACTAAGTGGAATAACAAATTGATGTTTCTCTCTCTCTGCCCCCCTTCTCCCTCTCTCTAAAAATCAGTAAATAAAAAAACAAAATCATAAAAAAATTAAACCAGATTAATTTATTTCTAGCCTTCACCTGCCTGACTCTTGGGCAATGTAATTCTAGTCCTGTTTGTTCTTAAGGTCACACAAGAGTACGGGAGGGCCACGATTGGTTTGGGGGCAGGTCCTCCACTGGTTATGCCATGATTGCTGGTTCCCTGCCCACCCCTCACCCCCCCACCCATGTCAGTCAGCCACAGAGGTTCTCTCAGCTCCGGATGACTGCAGACTAGCAGCCTCCGCGGGGCCCTTGGCCCCCCACATACAAACACAGCTCCACCTCAGGAAACTAACCCCTCCTCCAAAGCCTCTTCAGCTGGAACCCCAGCCTGAGCCCCAGCTGCTCAGAGACCATGGGTTTTACCACCTTGGCAGACCGGGAGCCCTGGATGGTTTAGAAGCAAAGATGCAAGTGACAGTCTCCTCAGGGGCCAGAATACTCAGAACTGCCTGGGTGGAGAGGAATCCCTGTGGTGTCAGCTTGTTTTATGAGGAATGAAAGGTAAGGCTGGCTGGCTTCCCACCTTCGTGGAGCTTTCATTTTATTCGGAGACCTGCACTAGCTGTCTAAGGCAGAAGGCCCCAATAGAGGAGCTTGTTAAAGACACATACCACAGGCTCCACCCTGAAGGTTCTGGTTCAGAGATCTGGGATGAAGCTAGCTCCTGCCTTTTACTTAGGAGCCTGCTGTCAGCCATTGCTCATACCCCACCAAGCCAAGACTGAACTCACCTGATCAGCCACTTCATTTGGCCAGGCACTGTCCTCAGTGATGGAGTTACAGATGTGAGCAAGACGGATGATAATATCAGACAATAGGCAACATCATGATATATAGTCATATAGTATGTTAGAAGGTGGAAAATGCAGAGTTGGGGATGAGACTTCTGGCATAGTGCTCAAGAAACGCTTCCCAAGACGAAGGTGAGAAGGAGTCATGGCCAGGTGGGAGAAAAGTCTCAGGCAGAAGGGTCAGGGTGCGAAGGCTGCAGGTGGGAGTAGCTGGTGTGCTTGATGAGCAATGAGGAGGCTGGTATGGCTGGAAGTAATGGAGCGATCAATACTGTGTGGGTCTCATGGACCACTATGACGACTTTGGGCTTTACAAACATGAGGAACTGCTGTGGATCTTTGGCAAATAAGGGATGTAAACTGACTCCTGTATTAAGAGAACTATTCTGACTGCTAAGAGGACAATAGACTGGGGGGAGCAAACTGAGGAGCAGGGACACCAGCTGGGAAGCTCTTGCAATGATTGGGGCAAGAGAGGAAGGTTGTTTGGACGAGGGGAAACTGTGGCCATGCTGAGGAGTCCTGGATACATATTGAAATATCAACAGGATTTCCTGGCACATTGGATGTAAGGTGTGGAAGAAAAAAATCAAGAGATCTCCTTGGTGTTTGGCTGGATCTAGCTGCCATGGCCTAAGCTGGTGGTGGCTATAGGGGGAGTAGGTTTGGGGAATGACCCAGAGCTCAGTTGTGTTCGAGGTGCCCATTAGATATTTGCAGTTTGCTACAAAGTCTGGAGTTCAGGAAAAGCTTGAGCTAGAGAGAAAAATTTCAGCTTCCAGGTGGTATTTAGGGTCAAGAGCTTTGGGTTGCTGATGAGGGAGTAGGTATGGATGGGGGAGGAGAGAACTGAAGCCTAGTCGTGGGCAATGTTGAGATAAGGGCCCCATGTAAATCTTGAACCACTACCCCCTGACAGCAGGATATCTTGGAAGATGCCTCAGCCCCTTCCTCAATAGGCAGCGCCATGGGCTTCTGTTTTGGGGGCAATTGCCAGGATGAGATGTCCCAAAGTGAGATGTTGCTTTCATTTGTATCTGCCCTTTCAGGGTGTTGGCAGTTTAGCAGTTTAGGGGTAGTGGCTCCTGGCATCTTCCTCCCATTACGGGCCCTGAGGTGGTATCTTGGGGGCAGGTAAGCATCATTCCCCTCATTACCTGCTTTCTCACTCTCTCTCAAGGAGCCAGCGCGACAACACTTCTTTTCCAAGCATGACAACCGTACTTCTTTCGACAAAGTGAGTGCTGGAGAGAGGCAGGAGGTGGGCAGGTCCCCAGCCTAGGCCGAAGTTGAGAAGGGGAAGGGGGTGGTCACCTCATACAGACAGAGGAGTGTCTGTCTTCCTGACAACCTCCCTCCTCTAGGAAACAGCCCAGTCTCCACCTGGAGGTACCCCTGCTTTGGTTTCCTCCTCCAGCTTGCCTGACTGTGCAAATATCCTAGGGGCCACTGACTTTCTGGGGGCCTCAACCTGGAATGGAGACAGGCCAAAAAGGCTGGGGTTCAGGCCAGGGGGGTCAGGCATCACCGGGCAGGCTTAGTACAGGAGGCACCCACAGCAGTGCCTGGTGCCAGGACTGTGGGCCAAGGGCCCGTACCGTTGAGGAGGGCCCCTACTGCCTACTGCAGGGAATCGGAAGGCGGAAAGACCTGGAGCGCCTGTGGCAGCGACACACCTTCCTGCACTGGGCACCTGGTGAGCTGGAGGTCTCCCAGCAGCGGCCCCTTGAATCCTCCTACCAGATCAATTTTCGGAAAGGCCCAGGTCTCGGTGACCTTCCTCAGCGCCTTGTCCACTTTGTGCAGATCCAGCCTCCCCATGTCAGCACCACCTATCAGCAGAACTTCTGCCGCCCATCTCGAGGTGGCCACTGTGGCAGTGACAAAGTGGAACCCCAGACCCCCGTCACCAACACACTGCCTAACCTCCCAGAGATCCCAAGACCCAAGCTGCTGCAGCAGCATTATCTCCATGCTGGGGTCTCGGAGTGTTTAAACTGGTCCAGAGCATTAAACAAGAGTAGCTGACACTGCGGCCTGTGTGTACTTGCAGCCCAAGAGGGCTCAGAGACTAGAGAGCAGTAAGGCACTGCCAGGCCCTCTGCCTGGCTCCTACGGTGCTTGCGCCTATGGTGCCTCTGTGCTGGGCAAGGGAGCTGTTGCCCTGGGAGCCCTGCCATTGAGTGAGAAGGGGTGCGGCATGCAGGAAGCTAAGGGTCCAGAAGGGTTACCACGGCCGCAGCAGATGGGTTCTGAGACCCCAAATCCATTCTTGCAGCAAACCCAGCTGTGAGACCCTTACATGCAGTGTGACTGCAGGGAAAGCAGAGTCAATGGCCCCTATCAGTGGGCAGCAAAGCCTGTTAGAGGAGGCCAAGCCTGTAGCTTTGCTTTCTCTGGGAGGCTACCACCTCTAGGGGTGAGGTGGGTGGCCACACAGTCCTGCCTAAGAGACGGCTTCCCCGCAGCTGGGACTGAGGGAGACTGTCCTGGCCACAGCCCCACTAGACCACCCCTCCCTATGGAGGTGAACAGAGGCTTTGCAGAGATGCTGTGTGACACAGACCTGGAGGACATCCTGACCTGGAGGACATCCTGACCCTGTGGAATTCTGTTGTAGTTTGCTAAGCTCTTCTCTGATCGTCCTGTGAGTACCCTCTAACATCCAGGACAGTGGGGACAGCGTTCATCCTATGTCACCATAAGTGAAGCTGAGGCTTAGGAGGGGCAGATGCCAGATCTAAAAGGCTCTTCTGGACCCCTGTCCTTTGGAGAACTGAGGCCTCTGAAGGAAGCCCAGGGGCTAACACAGGAATCCACACCAGGGTCATACACCAGATTTTAGCAGCATTTTTACTTCCACATCTGAACTCCCTGGGTCCTCACAACAGCCCTGTGAGGTAGGTAGGGCAGGAAGGTTGCAGAGATCCCCACTGACAGATGAGGATGCTGAGGCACAGAGAGGTGAGATGACTAGCCAGCCGTGTAGAGTGCCCAAAGCCAACATTCCTTTGGCCCTTTGGAGGTTCCTGCACCCACTCTTCCATTCCGTGACCCCCACCCTCTCTGAATTCTCCTGGGTCCACAGGGGCCTCCAAGGCAGGCTGGCAGATAGGATTCTTCAGGAATGGTCACTGGGGTGGACCTGGTAAACTCCAGGTAGGCACTGACCTTGCAGGGCATGAGATCAGCTCTCCCCTCCCCCCACTTTCCCATTGGACAGAGGGCCCAGTAGGTTCCAGAGCAAGGGTGGAGCTAGGCATGATCCATGAATGAATGGGGGTGAGGTGGTGTAAGGTATGTATATCCTATGCTAAAGGTGAAGCCCCTGCCCAAGTCCCCGTGGTGGTGTCTCAAGTGCCCATACCTGTGCCTCCCTCATCCCACAGAGCCACAGTGAGTTCCCTTAGCAGCACAAGGAGCCACAGACATCTGCCTCTGGCACTCCAGGGGACAAGGTCTCATCAGGCATTCAGACTCCATCACGAAGACACAGAGCCTCAACAGCTTGGCTGGGACCCTGTGCCACACCCCCGATGACAAACAGCCGGGGCCCAACCTGCAGACTAGAACAGGAGCAACGGGCTGTGGGCATGGCAGGCAGTGCCTCCCAGCGCCGCCGGGCAAGGCTGAAGCCCTCCACAGAGCCCAGAGGGCACGGCTGGTTTCCTGCAGGAAGGAGACAGAGGCTGTAAAAGGGCACAGGCTGCAGGGGCTCCAGCTCTTTTGCTCCCGGAGCCCAGAGTATGGCCCAATAGGCATCACCCCAGGATGGACTATCAGCGCCTTGCTACTCATTGCCCCATTCATCCACTCATTCATTTATTCATTCTTACTCCTATTTTCCCATTCACTCAGTGGTCATTTGTCCTGTTTCTGTCTCCTAGGCCCCTGCTGGTACAAAATCCAGTCAGGTGCTGAGGATACCCCTATATCTGGCCCATGCAGACCATACCCTGCTTGCTTCACAGATTGGAAAGGAAAGCTCACAAAGCCCCGAGCCCTGGAGAGCCTAGAGAAGGACAGAGGTAGCACTCATGCTGCAGGCCACTCCTGTCTTGGACTCCCCTCTCATCCCTAGCCCTGCAGACTCACCAAGGCCCCCGATAGCCACGATGTGGCCCCCAAGGGAGCCAACCACAAAGTCAGCCCTCTTGTCCCTCATGCGCAGGCCACGGGGCAGCTTGGTCCAGGACCCTGCAGGAGAGGGAAGGTCAGATCTGGCCCTTGATACTGTGTTCCTCCACCCCATGGAGAGCGGGGGTATAGCCCAGGACAGCCACTGCTCACCATGCTCCAGGTTGAACATCTCCACAGTGTTGACAAAGTGTGGGCGGGAGTAGAAATTGTGGGGCCCAGGCTGCTGCAGGCCACCCAAGCTAAAGACGCTGCCTTCGGCCATGGCGCAGCCAGCAAAGGCCCGGCGGCTAGGCAGGCTTGGGTGCCGGGTCCAGGTACGGGCCTCCAGATCAAAGGCCTCAAAAGCAGTCACTGGGAGCTTGCCCTGGCGGCCCCCTGCCAATGGAATTGGGGCATCTGGGAGGGAATCTGGGGTGCCTGGCAGGCTCCTCCCCAACCAGGTTGCCGAGCCTTCAGGGCTGCCCACTACAGCTACCAATACCCAGCTGTGTGCACACCAGAGCATGGATCACCTACCCCTCAGATTCTCAGGTACTGAGGTTTGGTTTTCCAGTTCCAGAAGGGCCACCAAAGGTGGGAGCCTCTGAGCAAGACTGGCTCACCCCAACAAAGCTTCCCTTGTCCTGCCATTCCAAGCTAAGGCTGATTCTAGCTAATTCACAGGGATAGGGCTACTGGACAATGAGCCCCTTTCCCATATCCCCCAGGCCCTTACCCAGGACATAGATCTTGCTCCCATGCAGAAAAGTGGAGGCTCCATAGCAGGGCGTGGGCATAGAAGGGAGCGAAAACCAGCAGTCCCGGCGGGGCTCGTACATCCGAACCTGGGCCTGGGGGGCCGTGTCAGGGCCCATTCCCCCCAGGGCATACACCATACCATCTGCATAGAAAAGAATAGCTCAGATAGTACCCTGGCCAGACAGCTGCCCTGGCCAGGTCTGGGGGTGGCTGGGGACCCAGTGTTTGTGGTACCCCTCCCAGCAGCAGAAACCCTCCTGTCTGCCTGGAGTGGGGGCTGGGAGAACTAGGATTCCTGCTCTGGCCAGGGCCCCTCAAAGTGAAGAGCAGGAGGCAGCAGATCTAATTATAATCTGTCTCCGTTTCCCTGGAGATGCTATGGCAACCAAGTCTGGCATCCAAGCAGAACCAGACCTGGTCAGACCTGGAGGCCACAAGATGCGGACTCTCCTGGGGGAAGGAGGTTGGAGGATGGTTTAAGCCAGGGGTAGAGGGCATATGAGGCCCTGCTTAGCATGGAGTTCAGACTGGGGAGGGGCTCTGGGGACCAGCTGGGGGGTTGGGAGAGGGGCTTGGGCCTGCAGGATAAGAGCATTGGCCACGCCTTCTGGCTAGGAGCCCTGCCAGCACCTCTTCACCCCACCTTTTCACTAGAGTAAGTTCTTGTCCTGTTTTGCCTTCAGGGTCAGCTGGGGGCATGTCTGGGGGCTTTGAGGAGATAGGCCAGTCAGCTGGCACCTTCCATGGCAACTGTCCCTGAGCCAGGTTGGCCTCTCAGGCTCCCAGATGTGTGTGGATAGGGACAATCTAAGCACTTGTCAGGCTCTGAGCCAAGGTCCTGCTTCCCTCCCCCTCCCCCAGACTATAACCTTGAAAGTCATTGGACCACCCTTTGTCTCTTAGAAAGGAGGAATGGATGGGACAGGGAGGTGGCTGGGTCCTCTCTTAATGCTAGGGGCCAGCCTGGGCTCTGCCTCCCACCTCACAGCTGGATAAGGCAGTTAAGGCTTCTGCTAGCCCAGCTCAGAGCTAGGTAGGGGAGGGTACAGGAGGCAAAGCCATGTCCAAGGCACCCAGGCAAAATTTACAGCTCTTGCCTAATCTCTGAGGGTAAGAAACCAAGTGAGAAAAAAAACTCAGGGTGTTGGGGCACCTCAGGACCCTTGGGAAGCCACTCACCTCTCTCCACAGTTGCAATGCCCATGGCTGCCTGAGGGAGGGTGGCCCGACGCTCCCAGCGGCCCTCGTCAGCCAGGAAGGCTTCCACAGCAGCTACTGGGCTCTGGCCCTCATCCACACCTCCCACCACTAGCACCTGCTTGCCCAGCACCACGGCAGCCGCTCCAGCCCGAGCAGTGGGCAGGGGTGCCAGTGCTAGCCATGTATGTGAGGCCATGTCTAGTGTCTCTGCAGTGTCCAGGGGCAGTCCAGCCCGGCCACAGCCCCCCAACACTAGTAGGTGCCCATCCTGGTATGCTACTGTGCCATACACCCGGCAGGTGGGCATGGATGGGAACACCTGCCAAGCAAAGGCCCGGCTACCTCCTGTAGCCATGGTGTTCACCTCCATTGGCAGGCCATGCTATCTGTTCAGGCTGCTGGCCTCACTGATGAAAGCCTCATCTTGACTCTACCAGGGTTACAAGGGGAGGGGGTGTGACCAGTCCAGGCAGTTTGCCTTCACCTGGAGGAGAGAGGGGAAACAAAGGGTCAGGGCCACCGGCCAGCTCTCAAAGTACACGAGTAGCCTGTAGCTAAGGGCAGGGCTGGCCCAAAACCACTGGTGGGAAAGGCAGGAGGAGGACCCACCCTGGTGGGCTAGCACACCACTGTAGAGCCCGCCTGGAGTGGGAAGGAGGGCAACTCTCAGACACCCAGGCACCTCCCCCCTTCCCATGGGGCATGTGGGATCCTCCCACCCCCTGCCCCCACCTAAGAGCTCCCTGGGCATATCTAGGTCTAGATGGGAGGTAAGGTGACTAGGAGAGGGCTCTCTACCCCAGCCGCCTTTCCTTCCCCTCAACAATCCTCACCCTGGTGCTCTGCCAGGGCGGAGTCCCACTGTACCCTCCCCTTACTGGCTTCCACTGTGCCCTGGGCAGCCATCAGGGTCTCCCACCTACTGCCAGGGCTCACACTCCAGAGTATCCTTACAACCCCTTTGGGAACCATTGAGTTCATCCATTCCCACAAGCAAAAGGCCAAGATCAGGGTGTTTGGGACTGGGAGGGGAGGGGCTGGATGCCAGGGTCCCACATTTTCCCTCTGAGATCTACCCTCAGCGGTTTGCCCATGCCAGGTCCCCATAGGCCAGCCTCCTTGGTGTCCATAATGGGGGAGGAGGAGGATTTGGGGAATCCCATGAGCCTAGGACTAGGGTTCCAGAGTCCAGGGAGTTTCCAGCAGAAATGGGCACCTGGACTTCTGCGTCCCTTCACAGCAAATCCCCAAGTTCCCCAGCCTGCCCTTTCCGGCAGGAGCCACACTACTGGGATCCCTGGTGCGAGGGCCTCCCAGCCCCAAACTTCCAGCT